CTGGTATTGCCCCTACGTAGCTTGTATCTGGTCACTGTTTCAGGAATGGTTAAAAAAAATCACAACATTCACTTAAAATGTACCTTACAAATAGCAGTGTTGGGCAATTTGGAAAGCCATAGTCAGTCAATAAATAATATAATAATACTCGTAGGAAAGGTTTTCATCTTTAGCTCACAATCTGTGGATACTATACATTAGAGAGGTTCAAAATGTATGTAAAACATCACAGCACAATTGAAAAATATATGGCACATTTAAACCAAATATGGGTGGTCTATGGTGATAGGTGGGATGGGCTGAGAGTGTGAGGGGTAGGATTAAAACGTTTTTGTTTGGTAATATATTATTGTTATGTGATTGCTTTACATAAAATTACCATGTATGTAAAATGTGTATGCAAAATGTATATGTAAAATGTATATGTAAAATGTTTGTATATGTAGCAGAAAAGCTGTAAAATAAAATAAAAAGATGTGTGTCCTCTGAAGAGGAAATAATAAATAAAAACTCCTTGTGGCGAGCCGGGCGCCTGCAGGCTGACCTCGGTCGTCAGTTCAACGGTGTTTCCTCCGACACATTGAGCCCCGTATAGCTCAGTTGGTAGAGCATGGTGCTTGCAACGCCAGGGTTGTGGGTTCGATTCCCACAGGGGGCCAGTATGAAAAAATTAATATATATCTAACTGTAAGTCGCTCTGGATAAGAGCGTCTGCTAAATGACTAAAACGTCAAACGTAAATTGATGCGGCTGGCTTCCGGGTTAAGCGGGCTGGTGAAGCGCGGTTTGGCGGGTCATGTTTCAGAGGACGCATGACTCGACCTTCGCCTTCCGAGCCCGTTGGGGAGTTGCAGCGATGAGACGAAATCGGGGAGAAAAAGGGGGTAAAATAAAATAAATAAATTCATTTATAATAATACAAATACTGAGCTATATTGTATGCAAAAAAAAATACACACATGAACACACACTTTGGAAAATCTGAAAAGTATATTATTTTATACTGATACAATTGCTTAGAGAAAGAGATTTTGTTTAACAAGTAATAAAATAAATTCTCAAAAATAATTCCTAAAGATTCTTATAAATAAAATCAAACAAAATAAAATCTGGATTAACATTATTGTAATTTTTTTTTTATCTCAGTTTAAGGAACTGTATTGTGGCCTTCCATGGCTTCCTGTTTGACTGGGGTATAAAAATGAGGTAACACGCAAATAAAATCCAGTTGTCATCCATCACCATGGGGAAAGGCAAAGAACTCACAAACGAAGAGACAAATGGTTGTTGACCTTCATAAATAAGGCAATGGATACAAAAAATTGCTAAAACTAATTATTTACCACTATTAGGACAACAATTAATATGTTTAAAACCACTGGAACAGTGACAAACTTGCCTGGTAGAGGAAGTGTATCTTGTCCCCATGCACAGTGAGGAAGTTGATTCGGAAGGCAAAGAAAAGTCCAGTTGGATAATTACAGAAACTTAGTCGCATCTTGGGGTCACCAAGTATCCAATTCTACAATTAGACACCACCTCCATGCCAATAGGTTCTTTGGAAGGGTTGCCAGAAAAAAGCTACTAACAAATGTAAACGCCTGGAGTTTGCTAAACGGCATTGGCACTTGGATTGGAACCGTGTGCTATGGTCAGATGAGAGGAAAGTAGAGGTCTTTGGCCACGCAAACCAGCGGTGACGCATATGCAGAAAATAACCTCATACCTACTGTAAAATATGGTGCTGGATCTTTGATGTTATGGGGCTATTTTGCTTCCTCTGGTCCTGGGGCCCTTGTTAAGGTCAACAGCATCATGAACTCTACCAAGTACCAGGACATTTTTGCAAAAAACCTGGTTGCCTCTGCCAGGAGGTTGAAACTTGGCCATAAGTGGATCTTCCAGCAAGACAATGACCCAAGCACACATCAAAATCCACAAAGAAATTGTTAATTGACCACAAAATCAACAATTTGCAATGGCCATCTCAGTCTCCAAACTTGAACCCCATCGAAAATCTGTGGTTTGAATTGAAGAGGGCAGTCCATAAGCGCAGACCGAAGAATATCAAGGATCTGGAAAGATTCTGTATGGAGGAATGGTCCAAGATCCCTCCCAATGTGTTTCATAAACATGGTGGGGTATGGTCAATTAGTTAGAATGAGGCACAGTGGACAATGTAGGGCAGTTCACATAGTGTGTTCGCCCAGACCCAGACACGTTGTAGTGACCCTGAGGAAGCATTGGGAGGACAACCGTAGCAACACTCCCAACACCAAGGACACAAAGCTGGCATACCAGCCACACACAAAGGGACAAATTATATCCTATATATAATCCAGTGTGAGTATGTGCATGTGTCAACGAGAAAGAAAGAAAGAAAGAAAGAAAGAAAGAAAGAAAGAAAGAAAGAAAGAAAGAAAGAAAGAAAGAAAGAAAGAAAGAAAGAAAGAAAGAAAGAAAGAAAGAAAGAAAGAAAGAAAGAAAGAAACTAGGAAACAGAGAGGGTGTCAGATGTTTACTAATGAGGAATTAGTGACTGTTTGACACATAATTATCATTAATCTCACAGGCCTACAGCAAATAGAACCAGGAAATCATTGGTGGCTGTGCTGTGTGAACAATTTGTCAAGGATTTAGTCTGTTTTTCCTCTTTTCTCTCCTTCGTTTCTGACCAAAAACAGGACCACATGTTCTTTGGGAGAGAATGGTTTATGCCTGCTGGGATGTGAGGACCACTCAGTGACCACAATAACCATTTGGGAGACAGTCAGCTCTTCCCAATGGACCATAATAACCACAGCCCTCACACTACCAGCAGGGGAAAACCATCAGGGGCTGTTATGAGCTGTGTGTGTGTATTTATATAGTATGTGTGTGTCCATATGTGGCTCAAAAGTGGTTGCCCGTGTGTATAAGTATGTATGCATGTTTGACACATCATAGGGGAGAGTGGGGTAAGTTGAGCCACCCTTGTTTCTAGGAAAACATACACAAAATTAATCATTTTACCAAATATTTAGTCTGAAGGAAAAAACCACATGGAAAAAGAGGTAAGCAAGTTAGGTACCAAAAAATGATTTTCACCAAGTCAAATGGATTTATTGTGTTAGAAGTTCCATGACGCTTGTATTTAAACCAAAGTAGATCATTTTAAGATTGCTCTATACATCCGTTGGGGTCTCTATATACTTCAATATGAAGTCCTAAATCTAGCATGAAAGTGCATCCTTGTAGCAGTGTGGGCTAATATAGTCCAAATGTTTGCCTTGGGGTAAGTTGAGCCAATGGTTGAGCCAATGGCAAGCTGAGCAAATTGAATAGTTTTCTTCCCAGGCGTAATGGAAGCCATTATCACTGGGATATGAGGTAACACCAGGGCCTGGCCTATGTCAAAGGTGTAAGTACAAAGTGTTTGTTAGGTGTGTTAAAAGATTATTAAAATTATTAAAAGACAAAAAGCGATTGTGATTGTGTTGAATTGAATTGCGTTTGGGAAATAAAGATACACATGTTTTTAAAAAGGTAGTGGTAATATTTGATTCAGTACAGACATTTGTAGGCCTCTGTAGCTCAGCTGGTAGAGCACGGCGCTTGTAACGCCAAGGTAGTGGGTTCGATCCCCGGGACCACCCATACACAAAAAAAAAAAATGTATGCACGCATGACTGTAAGTCGCTTTGGATAAAAGCGTCTGCTAAATGGCATATCATATCATATCATAGGCGGCTTAATTTACCATTTCCCGCAGCTTAATTTACCCCATAAGTTGTGCCAAGAGACCACTTTTTGGGGACAAACTATGTTTTCAAAACTGTAATGTTTACATAAATTCTGAATATTTCCAGGGATACACAACATCCTGAAATCTATGTAAATACCTTTGTTAGAAAGAATACTAAATTTCCCTTGATGGAGTGATCCTGAATGTAAAAAATGACCTCAATTTACCCCACTGTCCCTTACTGTTTCTATCACTGTAATGTACTAAAATCGGAAATCTCCAGAAATGCTCCTCCTCTTAATGGCTCATATCCCTGCACTGATTGGTCAGCTAAGGGTCCGCTCCATCAACCCTGCCCCGCCCCAGGACACCGCCCCATCGCCACCCTTATACCCAAGATGCATCAGGAGATAGGGAGGGAGGTTTGGAGAGGAGTGAGGGGGGTCAGGTGAGGGGGAGACAGAGCGTCCCGGACCACATCCCAAACCAAACTCTTACTGGGGTGTGAAAGCTCAAATATAGCCCTTGACACAGGATCTCATGGGAACATCAGACCCTCTCAATCCCTTTACCGCCCCCGCCCCTCCACATTCCAACTGTAATCTGGAAAATACTGGCTCCGAAATATCAACCAACCGTATCTCGACATGGCTGCTGCTCCAACGCCTCTCGACGCCATTCGCGGCCGTAACCGACACTAAACTTTACAGGGACCAGCCGCGAAGGCTCCCTCGGAGAAACCCAACCACCGACATGACAAACGCTGTAAAAACGAAGGAACCGCACCGTTCCTTCTCAACCGAATGAATTGATTTTCCTTTGTTTACATGCTATGAAACTTGTGTTGGGAATTGAAACCATGGCTCTGTAAAAGTCAATAGTGCGTGTCAATTATTTGAATATGGTAAGGGGAATAGGGAAATAGTATTTTGTGTTCCTCTGATGTGGTCCTCCAGGTAAAGTCAGTGAACCCCAGACAGGAAGTCACTCTTGGTTAACTTGATGGGGAACATGAAGTCCCACTAACCTTACATTTTTACCTTGTTTTACTCATAATGGAGAAAACAACACATTTTAGAGTGCTAATCTAGGATCAGGTCCCCCCTATCCAAATACAGTTATTCATTATAATCTAAAACTAAACACTGATCCTCTATCAGCTCTCCTACTCTGAGACTTCGTGAATACGGCCCAGGTCTCTGACAGTGCTTGTCCATCTGTGAGTGTTTGGTAGTGAGTTACAAGCGTGTAGAAACGGCCTGCCCACACCACGTACCTGCACGAAGCCACACATTACATGCTCCCCAAACATGGGCAGGCTGGGCCGGCTCTCGCGGTACATGTGCAGAGTGTATATTGTCATGACGACAGGCTCGGGATCTGTGGCGGCTGACTCATCTGTCACTAGAATGTTGATTATGCTGTTGCCCAGGCCGACCGGGTAGTTTGCCGTTCTGTGGAAAAACAGAAGCAGAGCATCTCAGAAACAAGGTCCAGGGAGATGAAACACACATAAGCACAAGCACACACACACACACACACACACACACACACACACACACACACAGAACAGAGAGATGAAAACACACACACACAGGATGGTGAGAGAGAGGGTAGGGGGCTGAGGAAGAGTTTAGAATCATTCCTAAATGTCACGTTTAGCGCTATGTGTGTGTCTGTCTGTCTGTCAGAGGTCAATCCTCTGACCCCAGTGCTACTGAGTCTAATGGATGCTAATCAGGGATTGGCTGCTGAAATCAAAGCTGCGGACATAAGAAACAGAGTTCGACAATCACACAGAGTAGAACTCAGAATGACATGGAAACATACCCTGACCAAAACACTGGACTGAAAACACACATTTCCAGAATTCAGATGCCATAACTAACTTACATCTATATTTTAGACCTGAAGACTGGGCAGGTGTAAGCAATATGGGACAAGATCCAAAGGGCTAGTTGGAGATCTAACTATATTACTGCTAACACCTACCATCTCACTGAATGTGACCCAGGATACATTTGAAAGCCCAGCTTGTGACTCACAGGGTGAAAGGTCATGGCTGGGAGGGTCTCACCTAGGTCCTCTGTGCTCGTCCAGGTGTATGTGACAGACTGGGCTGATGGGCTCGGGGCGGAGGCGTAGGGTCACCACATCAAAGGGGACCTCAGCACGGTAGTCTTTCACCCAGGGACTGAAGGGGGGGCTAAGAGTCAGAGGGGGGTCTGTATACAGCTGTCTGAGGTGGGGGTCCACACAACGCTCTGATACACACCACAGGGAGAGAGAGAGAGAGAGAGAATGGATTATATACAGATAAAAAGGCTTGCACACGTCACACCGTATGTGGATCTATCTTTCATCTGCCGATCGCACAGCGCACTGTGTTTTAGCGACAACCCGCTGTATTTTTCATGCGATTGTACATGTAAAATCAGTGCGCACTCCCTTCACAAATTACATTCAGAGGTGTTAAGTACTCTCAGCCAGCAAAAGTTACTGGTGTGTCTGAGCCCAAAGATATTCAGAATACTGTTACACATTTATCCATCAGACAGAGCATCAAAGAACAAAGCTGGTTATCTAAAGCATGCATGCTTGGTGTGTGTGTGTGTGTACACGCTTATAATCCCCATTCAAAGGGATTAAAGTTAAAGACATTCACACCAACTCACACACACACTTATGTAATGGGAGGAAAAATTTTAACACACACATAGAGGAATGTTAATAACGATACCCTGAGGTCCACAAGTGTTGAGCACAAGCCCAGAGAATGCTCTCTTTCTGTGGAGGCAATTTACTCTGGTGTGTGCCAACCTCAAGCAGTCTGCAGATGCAGGGGGCACAGCAGGTCCACCTACCAACCCTCCCAGCCTGAAGCACCGCCACAAGGTGTCATATTTTACCGTGAACACTGCAGCAGAAGGGAACTCCTTCTCTGCTCTTTCGTCCTTGTGAGGCTACAATACATCGAGTTTCCCAGGGAAGCTGTGAAGCGCGGGTGAAGCTGTGAAGTCAGCTGTAGCCTATTGCATGATTGTGTTTATGAGTCTGTTATTAAAGAAAGTGAAACAATGTTGTGTATGTTAACTATTGCTAACTATTGCATGATTGTTTTTCATGAGTCTTATTAAAAGGTGTATGTTTACTGCTTTTCATTAAATCATGTATGGCTACAAATTTTGTTATGGCCTAAAATAAATGTTGTTCATATGGGCTGAATATTGTAGCCTAGGCCTATATAAATTCATTAATATGGGTATATAAAGTGTAGCGCCTTGAAAGCGCCTCAGCTCCAGCCAGCATTTGTTTGTCTGAAAGGGTACACTATGGCTTTTTCAATGCCGCCACGAAACCTTCTCTGGAGATAGTTTGGAAGCGCCACTTAATGGGCATTTAAGTTGTCGGTAACGAAATGCCGCTTCTGAAGCAGGGCTAAAGTCCATCACTATGCAACCAAAACTGTCAATGAAATGATCTCGAGCTGCCTGCAAGCAGCCTGCCTGTCTGCTGCCTGCGCGCAGACAACTCACTCCTAAAAAGTACTTTGAAGTTCGGTAAATTCAATGACTTTTAGTAGAAAGAAACACATCTACCCTACCATGAAAAAAACAGCAGAAAAACAACAAAACAGCACATTAATCAGCATTGTTTATTGTTGTCAGGGAAACAATACCGAACATTCTATGCCGGAGCAGAATTCTACTGCCTGAAAAGGTACAGATGCTTCTGATGTTGCACAACAAAAGTGTCTGAAAGGTTATCAATTGTCACGTCCTATGTATGAAAATTGGTTGGTTAACTTTGAGATAACCCCGTCAGTGAGGGTTATGCAACCTCGGCATTCTAAAGCATCATATTCGGTGCACTCCCAAAAGGACTTATTGGCGGTCTGTCGTTCCAGTCTGTATGTGTAGCCTTCATGCGCCAGGATATTTTCTCCACACACAAGAGGATAAATTCGGGTTCCATTGCTTGTTCTGCTCCTCTGAGAATAATGAATCCTGAGGATAGCAGTGCAAGATCCTTTTAAGCAGAATAATTTGATTATTAGCATATGAACGACTTGCAATTCGATTGCTGGACTATCAAAGCCATCCATCCAGTCTTTTTTAATTGAAATGTTGGCCTTTTATCAGATACATTTTTTCTGCATTCAATGATTTCTATTCATAACTGATCAAAATTCGGTATGCTATACCCTATAAATAATATTCTGCCCATATAAACACATTTATTTTAGGCCATATAAAGAAAAGCTATGCATGATGTACTGACAAGGATCAAACAGAAAAAACATTGTTTCACATTCTTTAATTAAAGACTCAAACAGAAATAGGCTATAATGCTGGCTTCACAGTTTCCCTGCCAAATAGGCCTACAAGGAAACTCGACATACACTACCAGTCAAAAGTTTGGACACACCTTTTTACTATTTTCTCAGCTAATTGGCTGACTCTGGAGCGCCTCACCAACAGGATGTTTAGAAATGGATTGGGAATTAGAATGCTGTATATCTCAATGGTTTGAAGTGTGGCGCTCTGAGTTCACCAGAGCTCCACTCGGGGAGGTTTACGTGTCTTTTTGTAGAGCAAAACTACACCGTGCACAGACCCTCTCGCACACCCAATGTCTTCGATATACACTACCAGTCAAAAGTTTGGAAACATTCTCATTCAAGGGTTTTTCTTTATTTTTACAATTTTTTACATTGTAGAATAATAGTGACATAGTAGACATCAAAACTATGAAATAACACATATGGAATCATGTAGTAACCAAAAAAGTGTTAAACAAATCAAAATATATTTTATATTTGAGATTCTTAAAATAGCTACCTTTTGCCTTGATGACAGCTTTGCACACTCTTGGCATTCTCTCAACCAGCTTCATAAGGTAGTCACCTGGAATGCATTTCAATGAACAGGTGTGCCTTCTTAAAAGTTAATTTGTGGAATGTATTTCTGTCTTAATGCGTTTGAGCCCATCAGTTGTGTTGTGACAAAGTAGGGGGGGGGGGGGGGGGGGGGGGGGATACAGAATATAGCCCTATTTGGTAAAAGACCAAGTCCATGTTATGGCAAGAACAGCTCAAATAAGCAAAGAGAAATGACAGTCCATCATTACTTTAAGACATGAAGGTCAGTCAATACGGAACATTTCAAGAACTTTGTTTCTTCAAGTGCAGTCGCAAAAACCATCAAGCGCTATGATGAAACTGGCTCGCATGAGGACCGCCACAGGAATGGAAGACCCAGAATTACATTACATTACATTTACGTCATTTAGCAGACGCTCTTATCCAGAGCGACTTACAGTTAGGGCATACATTATTCTTTTTAATTTTCATACCCCATGGGAATCGAACCCTCAACCCAATTACCTCTGCTGCAGAGGATAAGTTCATTAGAGTTACCAGCCTCAGAAATTGCAGTTCAAGTAACAGACACATCTCAACATCAACTGTTCAGAGGGGACTGTGTGAATCAGGCCTTCATGGTCGTATTGCTGCAAAGAAACCACTACTAAAGGACACCAATAAGAAGAAGAGACCTGCTTGGGCCAAGAAACATGAGCAATGGGTCCAAATTTGAGATTTTTGGTTCAAACCGCCTTGTCTTTGTGAGACACGGTGTGGGTGAACGGATGATCTCTGCATGTGTAGTTCCCACCGTAACGCATGGAGGAGGAGGTGTTATGGTGTGGGGGTGCTTTGCTGGTGACACTGTCTGTGATTTATTTCGAATTCAAGGCACACTTAACCAGCATGGCTACCACAGCATTCTGCAGCGATACGCCATCCCATCTGGATTGGGCTTAGTGAGACTATCATTTGTTTTTCAACAGGACAATGACCCAACACACCTCCAGGCTGTGTAAGGGCTATTTCACCAAGAAGGAGAGTGATGGAGTGCTGCATCAGATGACCTGGCCTCCACAATCCCCCGACCTCAACCCAATTCAGATGGTTTGGGATGAGTCGGACAGCAGAGTGAAGGAAAAGCAGCCAACAAGTGCTCAGCATATGTGGGAACTCCTTCAAGACCGTTGGAAAAGCATTCCAGGTGAAGCTGGTTGAGAGAATGCCAAGAGTGTGCAAAGCTGTCATCAAGGCAAAGGGTGGCTATTTGAAGAATCTCAAATATAAAATATATTTTGATTTCTTTAACACTTTTTAGGTTACTACATGATTCCATATGTGTTATTTAATAGTTTTGATGTCTTCACTGTTATTCTACAATGTAAAAAAGTAAAATTAAAGAAAAACCCTTGAATGAGTAGGTGTGTCCAAACTTTTGACTGGTAGTGTATATTGAAGACATTGGGTGCGCGAGAGGGTCTGTGCACGGTGTAGTTTTGCTCTACAAAAAGACACGTAAACCTCCCCGAGTGGAGCTCTGGTGAACTCAGAGCGCCACACTTCAAACCATTGAGATATACAGCATTCTAATTCCCAATCCATTTCTAAACATCCTGTTGGTGAGGTGCTCCAGAGCCAGCCAATTAGCCGACACCTGAGCAGCGCCTCACCTCTGTCTCCAGGGAAGTCCTGGGAGCCTGAGTGTTGGTCCCACCCAGTCTGTGTCTCTGCCTCATCGGTCCTATGGGAAACATGGAAGACTTTCATTATTTAGAAAATAAATGTCCCATTGGAACAGGGAATATTCTGAGTACTTTCCCTGCAATAAAAACAACAAAAGAGCGATGACAAACTTTAGCCCTCTAATAAAATGAGTCTATCAAGCACATCCACAGTCTCACACAAACCAACTGCACAAATTCAGAAATATGGATAAAAAAACGCACATATGGTGATCAAAAACACACACACACACACACACACACACACACACACACACACACACACTTTCCTGGCCAGCGTCAACATTCCAATTGGTTCCCTTCTGGCCTATATGAGGCCCAGAGGTGATTATCAACACTTGTTATAACCGTCATCCAATCACAGTAAACTATACTGGCTGTTCTCCAGACACGTATCCTCCCTCCTCCTTTCTATAGCCTGATACCCTCTCCCTTTTCTTCTCTTCCACCCCCGTTTCGTCCACTTCCCACATCCAGCACCCTGTTCCCCTTCCACTCCTCTTCCAAACCCTTCCATCACCAACCCCTCTACCCCTTACCATACCCATTCCTCCACTACCTCCCTCTCTTTCCTCCCATCATCCTCATCATTCCGCCTGGTTCCCTGCCCTTGAGCGTGCTACATGCTCCTAGCTCCGTGCTCAGCCCCAGAAGTCCACCCAGCCCAAGGGCAGAGGGAGGCTGTGTTCTGAGTGAAAGCATCCCAGCTCCGTGCCACAGCCTGAGAAGGATGGGAAGCCAGATGGGGCCCGCCAGTGGAGCCAGCACCCAGCCAAGCAGGGATTTAACCTAGTTCTGTTCCAGTCTGAGTGGATTGGGCCTGAAGCTCCTCTCTCCTGCTACAGCCAGACTAACGTACATGTGCCTGGGGCTTAATGAAGGAATGCTTAGGGGAGGTTGGGGAACGAAAACCATCCTTAATTCAGCCAAGCTTTATGACCCCCAGCCCAGTCATTTGTCTGTTTAATTGTTTGGTTGATCCTTTCCAAATATATGGAGAGTAAGACAACACCAAGGGGATAGAGCAAGGTAACAGAACCTCATGTGAACTGATTGATGTGTGTGTGTGTGTGTGTGTGTGTGTGTGTGTGTGTGTGTGTGTGTGTGTGTGTGTGCACACTTGTGCTCACCTGTAAATATGGTTCCTTTGCTCTGTATAATGGGAACAGACTCTGTCCAACAATGCTGAGAAATGCAGCCCACTCCCAGACTCCTCTGCTCTAGGGAACGATCGAAACAGAAAGTCTTGGATAGGAGAGCGCTCTGGAGAAGCTGCGGGATAAAGCTGGATATAGACAGGTTTTCAGTTACTGGGAATACATACACTCTAAATAACATGATTACAATCTGGAATCACTGCAAGTGTTCTGTATCAATGACTACATTATGCTTCAGAATGAATCTGGTTATACTCTATACAGTGCATTCGTTAAGTATTCAGACCCCTTTCCCTTTTCCACATTTTGTTACGTTACATCCTTATTCCAAAATGGATTAAATAATTGTTTTCCCTCATCAATCTACACCCAATACCCCATAATGACAAAGTGAAAACATGTTTTTAGAAATGTTTGCAAATGTATTACAAATAAAAAACAGAAATACAGTGGGGGAAAAAAGTATTTAGTCAGCCACCAATTGTGCAAGTTCTCCCACTTAAAAAGATGAGAGGCCTGTAATTTTCATCATAGGTACACGTCAACTATGACAGACAAAATGAGAAAAAGAAATCCTGAAAATCACATTGTAGGATTTTTAATGAATTTATTAGCAAATTATGGTGGAAAATAAGTATTTGGTCAATAACAAAAGTTTCTGAATACTTTGTTATATACCCTTTGAAGACTTTCTGTAAGTCTTCACAAGGTTTTCACACACTGTTGCTGGTATTTTGGCCCATTCCTTCATGCAGATCTCCTCTAGAGCAGTGATGTTTTGGGGCTGTCGCTGGGCAACACGGACTTTCAACTCCCTCCAAAGATTTTCTATGGGGTTGAGATCTGGAGACTGGCTAGGCCACTCCAGGACCTTGAAATGCTTCTTACGAAGCCACTCCTTCGTTGCCCGGGCGGTGTGTTTGGGATCATTGTCATGCTGAAAGACCCAGCCACGTTTCATCTTCAATGCCCTTGCTGATGGAAGGAGGTTTTCACTCAAAATCTCACGATACATGGCCCCATTCATTCTTTCCTTTACACGAATCAGTCGTCCTGGTCGCTTTGCAGAACAACAGCCCCAAAGCATGATGTTTCCACCCCCATGCTTCACAGTAGGTATGGTGTTCTTTGGATGCAACTCAGCATTCTTTGTCCTCCAAACACGACGGGTTGAGTTTTTACCAAAAAGTTCTATTTTGGTTTCATCTGACCATATGACATTATCCCAATCCTCTTCTGGATCATCCAAATGCACTCTAGCAAACTTCAGACGGGCCTGGACATGTACTGGCTTAAGCAGGGGGACACGTCTGGCACTGCAGGATTTGAGTCCCTGGCGGCGTAGTGTGTTACTGATGGTAGGCTTTGTTACTTTGGTCCCAGCTCTCTGCAGGTCATTCACTAGGTCCCCCCGTGTGGTTCTGGGATTTTTGCTCACCGTTCTTGTGATCATTTTGACCCCACAGGGTGAGATCTTGCGTGGAGCCCCAGATCGAGGGAGATTATCAGTGGTCTTGTATGTCTTCCATTTCCTAATAATTGCTCCCACAGTTGATTTCTTCAAACCAAGCTGCTTACCTATTGCAGATTCAGTCTTCCCAGCCTGGTGCAGGTCTACAATTTTGTTTCTGGTGTCCTTTGACAGCTCTTTGGTCTTGGCCATAGTGGAGTTTGGAGTGTGACTGTTTGAGGTTGTGGACAGGTGTCTTTTATACTGATAACAAGTTCAAACAGGTGCCATTAATACAGGTAACGAGTGGAGGACAGAGGAGCCTCTTAAAGAAGAAGTTACAGGTCTGTGAGAGCCAGAAATCTTGCCTCAGACTGGGGCGAAGGTTCACCTTCCAACAGCACAACGACCCTAAGCACACAGCCAAGACAACGCAGGAGTGGCTTCGGGACAAGTCTCTGAATGTCCTTGAGTGGCCCAGACAGAGCCCGGACTTGAACCCGATCGAACATCTCTGGAGAGACCTGAAAATAGCTGTGCAGCAACGCTCCCCATCCAAACTGACAGAGCTTGAGAGGATCGGCAGAGAAGAATGGAAGAAACTCCCCAAATGCAGGTGTGCCAAGCTTGTAGCGTCATACCCAAGAAGACTTTAGGCTATAATCGCTGCCAAAGGTGCTTCAACAAAGTTCTGAGTAAAGGGTCTGAATACTTATGTAAATGTGATTTAAGTTTTTTATTTTTAATACATCTGCAACAAAAAAAATTAATCAATTTTCGAATAAGGCTGTAACATAAGAAAATGTAGAAAAAGTGAAGGGGTCTGAATACTTTCTGAATGCACTGTAACAGAGAGTAATGTGGAATAGATGTTTACCAGTTCAAATGGCCCTGGTGTCCTTAGCTGACGGAGGAACTGGAGGAGGAGGAGAGTCTGGTGTTCTAGTAGACAGAGACCGTATGTCCCCCCACAGCCACCATACTGACCAGAAACATACAAAACAAATTGTGAGGGTCAATGGAATTATGATATCTATTAAAATGTCTCTCTGAAATTGTACTGTTAAAAAGAGGCCATCGTTATTGCCCTCACAGTATTGAGTGCTTTATTAAGTTAAACACAGTTGTTTAGTACCCTCTGTCCATCATCTGTCTCGGTGTGCGAAGGGCTCTTCAGACTGGCCTGTCCACTGTGTGCTGGGATTAGGAAGAGAAGAGCGTCTTCCAGGATGAACTCTTTTGTGATCTGTCCGTCAAACCCTGGGTCCCTCAGCCCATCAAAGTGCAGGTCAATCTCAGCCTGACAGACAGAGATTAAGGGAAACTTTTAGCAATGGCTTTCAGTAAGGGACTGTACTGAGAGTAAGCATGTTCTGCCACCTAGTGGATATATGAGTTATCTTAATACTGTCATAAACGTATGAATGGGTGCCAAAACAATTACCTGCTCCCTTCCTTCTACCCTGACTCACACTTAGAGGTCTGAACGTATTGGAGAGGTGTAAGCAATGAGGGGAATTCAAGGAAGGAATTAGTCAGATTGAACCTTAGAGATATGTTGGTTTTCTAAGATGAGTACATGGAACAGGCTATAAAGCCTACAGAAGGAAACATAATTATGTTTATTGGTGGCTCGTGTTATAGGAGTGGAACCAATGGACACCATGTTTGGAATCTGGAAAAGGGGGAAGGCGTCTCTGGGTCAAACCAATTAAAATACTTAAAGGGAGGCCCTTTAAGTGTAATGGCTTTTATAACTATGACTAGTTGTATCACTCAACAGCGTGCATGCATGGGTATGTGCGTGTGTGAGTGCACGTGTGTTTGTATGCAACCGACATGTATGCAGCACAACAGCTAAAATACTGACTCTCACTTCTCTGCTCAACTCGGAAGTTACACTACACGACCAAAAGTATGTGGACACCTGCTCGGCGAACATCTCATTCCAAAATCATAGTCATTAATATCTAGTTGGTCCTCCCTTTGCTGCTAGAACAGCCTCCACTCTTCTGGGAAGGCTTTCCACTAGATGTTGGAACATTGCTGCGGGGACTTGCTTCCATTCAGCCACAAAAGCATCTGTGAGGTCAGGCACTGATGTTGAGCAATTAGGCCTGGCTCGCAGTCGGCGTTCCAATTCATCCCAAAGGTGTTTGATGGGGTTGAGGTCAGGGCTCTGTAAAGGCCAGTCAAGTTCTTCCACACCGATCTCAACAAACCATTTCTGTATGGACCTCGCTTTGTGCACAGAGGCATTGTCATGGTGAAACAGGAAAGGGCCCCAAACTGTTGCCACAAAGTAAGAAGCACAGAATCGTCTAGAATGTCATTGTATGCTGTAGAATTAAGATTTCCCTTCACTGGAATTAAGGGGCCTAGCCCGAACCATGAAAAACAGCCCCAGACCATTATTCCTCCTCTACCAAACTTTACAGTTGGCACTATGCATTGGGGCATGTAGCGTTCTCCTGGCATCCGCCAAAGCCAGATTCATCCGTCGGACTGCCAGATGGTGAAGCGTGATTCATCACTCTAGAGAACGCGTTTCGACTGCTTCAGAGTCCAATGGCGGCGAGCTTTACACCACTCTAGCCGATGCTTGGCATTCCGCATGGTAAACTTAGGCTTGTGTGCTGCTGCTCGGCCATGGAAACCCATTTCATGAAGCTCCCAACGAACAGTTCCTGTGCTGACGTTGCTTCCAGAGGCAGTTTGGAGCTCAGTAGTGAGTATTGCAAACGAGGACAGATGATTTTTACGCGTTACGCGCTTCAGCAATCGGAGGTCCCGTTCTGTGAGCTTGTGTGGCCTACCAATTTGCTGAGCCGTTGTTGCTCCTAGAAGTTTCCACTTCACAATAACAGCACTTACAGTTGACCGGGGCAGCTCTAGCAGGGCAGAAATTTGACGAACTGACTTGTTGGAAAGGTGGCATTCTATGACAGTACTACGTTGAAAGTCACTGAGCTCTTCAGTAAGGCCATTCTACTGCCAATTTTTGTCTATGGAGATTACATGGCTGTGTACTCATTTTATACACCTGTCAGCAACGGGTGTGGCTGAAATAGCTGAATCCACTAATTTGAAGGGGTGTCCACATACCTTTGTATGTATATAGTGTATATTGCCGTCTTTGAATGTTGCTAGTCTCACAGTCTTATGGCGCACCTAGTGACTACTCTAAAACACCATCAGTAGAGACCGGCTACAGTAGTAATGTGCCGACCCAGCAATAACCCCCTCTTACCTTCACTATGACAGGCAGAAGGGAACCACTGAACTGAAGAGTGAACGTCATCAGCTGGAAACACAGGAGACACCACCTACAGGAGAAACAGTCACATAGAATAGTGACAAATCAGAACGACGCACAGAGATGAATACTTGAACAGTTGTGAGGTTGATTTGAGGGTGGCTAACCTGTGCTGAGAGCTAGGCTCCTCATTGGTCAATGCTGCCGCCATCAACACCTGTCCTATGACCTCCTTCACATGGCCCAAGGCCTCATTGGACGCATCAGGATCCAGCTGCTGCAGAAAAAAGGTATTGAGCTGAGAGAGAGCGATGGAGAGAAGGAGAAAGACAGGAAGACAGAAAGAGAGAGAGAGGGTGAAAGAGCGAGAGAGAGAGAGAGAGAGAGAGAGAGAGAGAGAGAGAGAGAGAGAGAGAGAGAGAGAGAGAGGAGAGAGAGAGAGAGAGAGAGAGAGAGAAAGGGATAGAGAAAGAGAGAGGGGGGATAAAGAGGAGAGAAAACTTTTGTCAGTGTTAAAAAAGTCTGAAGAAGTTCAAGCCTGTACCCAGCAGAGTTGGATAGATTCCAACTTAATTATTACACCTCAATATTAGACAAGGCAATAATTGATATGCGCTCAAATGGAGAGATTCCGTGTAAATTTAATATTTTGAAAGGAATTCGCACTGCTGTGGCAAAATAAACACTTGATACTCTGTTCCAACAGGTGGCGGTAAAGGTCCACATTCATTAATCCACAACCCCAGCTTTGATATGACAGAAGAAAACTACAACCACTCTCTCTCAGTCCCATCACATTACATCTAATAGATCTAATCTAGTTAGATTACATTTCATCTGACAGAGGCAGATTTAATTTGAGATAATCCCAATAAGGGGCCAGCGAGTGACGGTTGGACAGGGTTGGGAATCAGGCATTACGGTGCTCAAATCCGAAGCATGTGGTTGGCTCGTACAAACACACACACTGAACACTGTTAATAGGGCCTTATAAAAACGACTGGGAGACTCCGGAGACAACAACATCATAATGGCAGTAGGATCAGGACGTTCAGAGCTCCAGATATTTGGCATGGTTTTGGTCATCTGGTGACTCAGCTAGTGTGAGTTTTATAGACACGTAGGAGATGTCAACGAGGGGTTAACTAGTCAGAAGAGATATGAGATTGGATAAGAGTCGGTAGTTGATTGTTATACCAGAGTGGAAAGTTGGGTTATTGGAAAGGAACACTATGGTTTACTGTGTTTCTGCCGCAGAGAGACAGTTCTGGCAGTAGTTTTGTGTGTGTGCGTGTTTGCACATGCTCCAATATTTTAGCATGTTTATGACTAAAGAAGCACAAAAACAACACTAGGCCCGAAGGTAACTTTAAGAAATAACTGGAGAAAATAAATAGTAAAAACATTATGTGCCATCATAGCTACAGTGGGGGAAAAAAGTATTTAGTCAGCCACCAATTGTGCAAGTTCTCCCACTTAAAAAGATGAGAGAGGCCTGTAATTTTCATCATAGGTACACGTCAACTATGACAGACAAATTGAGAATTTTTTTCTCCAGAAAATCACATTGTAGGATTTTTTAATGAATTTATTTGCAAATTATGGCGGAAAATAAGTATTTGGTCACCTACAAACAAGCCAGATTTCTGGCTCTCACAGACCTGTAACAACTTCTTTAAGAGGGTCCTCTGTCCTCCACTCGTTACCTGTATTAATGGCACCTGTTTGAACTTGTTATCAGTATAAAAGACACCTGTCCACAACCTCAAACAGTCACACTCCAAACTCCACTATGGACAAGACCAAAGAGCTGTCAAAGGACACCAGAAACAAAATTGTAGACCTGCACCAGGCTGGGAAGACTGGATCTGCAATAGTTAAGCAGATTGGTTTGAAGAAATCAACTGTGGGAGCAATTATTAGGAAATGGAAGACATACAAGACCACTGATAATCTCCCTCGATCTGGGGCTCCACGCAAGATCTTACCCCGTGGGGTCAAAATGATCACAAGAACGGTGAGCAAAAATCCCAGAACCACACGGGGGGACCTAGTGAATGACCTGCAGAGAGCTGGGACCAAAGTAACAAAGCCTACCATCAGTAACATACTACGCCGCCAGGGACTCAAATCCTGCAGTGCCAGACGTGTCCCCCTGCTTAAGCCAGTACATGTCCAGGCCCGTCTGAAGTTTGCTAGAGTGCATTTGGATGATCCAGAAGAGGATTGGGAGAATGTCATATGGTCAGATGAAACCAAAATATAACTTTTTGGTAAAAACTCAACTCGTCGTGTTTGGAGGACAAAGAATGCTGAGTTGCATCCAAAGAACACCATACCTACTGTGAAGCATGGGGGTGGAAACATCATGCTTTGGGGCTGTTTTTCTGCAAAGGGACCAGGACGACTGATCCGTGTAAAGGAAAGAATGATTGGGGCCATGTATCGTGAGATTTTGAGTGAAAACCTCCTTCCATCAGCAAGGGCATTGAAGATGAAACGTGGCTGGGTCTTTCAGCATGACAATGATCCCAAACACACCGCCCGGGCAACGAAGGAGTGGCTTCGTAAGAAGCATTTCAAGGTCCTGGAGTGGCCTAGCCAGTCTCCAGATCTCAACCCCATAGAAAATCTTTGGAGGGAGTTGAAAGTCCGTGTTGCCCAGCGACAGCCCCAAAACATCACTGCTCTAGAGGAGATCTGCATGAAGGAATGGGCCAAAATACCAGCAACAGTGTGTGAAAACCTTGTGAAGACTTACAGAAAACGTTTGACCTGTGTCATTGCCAACAAAGGGTATATAACAAAGTATTGAGAAACTTTTGTTATTGACCAAATACTTATTTTCCACCATAATTTGCAAATAAATTCATTAAAAATCCTACAATGTGATTTTCTGGAATTTTTTTTCTCATTTTGTCTTTCATAGTTGACGTGTACCTATGATGAAAATTACAGGCCTCTCTCATCTTTTTGCATGTGTAGTCAGAGTGTATCCACTTGGCCTGTTTGCAGCAAACTGTGAATTGAAAGCCCTAAGCTAATTTAGGAGCAATATGCTAGGAACGCACTTAGCCAGCTACCACACAACCCTCCACTACACAGCTGTAACAGCCTAATGAACATCACAAAATACGCAGCGCAAACATTCTGGAGAGGAGGAAGGAAGAAACAAGAGTTTCCTAAGAGGCATAGCGCAGTGTACAGCTCAAGGTCTCTACTATGTTTACTGTAGGTCCAGCTTTATCAAAGACTCAGGGCTACATTCAATCAAATCAGTTAAATATATGATATATATATATATACTGTATAAACACAGTACCAGTCAAAAGTTGACACACCTACTCAATCAAGGGTTTTTCTTATTTTAAAAAAAACAATTTTCTACACTGTAGAATAATAGTGAAGACAACAAAACTATGAAATAACACATATGGAATCATGTAGTAACCAAAAAGTGTTAAACAAATAAAAATATATTTTATATTTGAGATTCTTCAAAGTAGCCACCTTTTGCCTTGATGACAGCTTTGCACACTCTCAACCAGCTTCACCTAGAATGCTTTTCCAACAGTCTTGAAGGAGTTCCCACATATGCTGAGCACTTGTTGGCTGCTTTTCCTTCACTCTGTGGTCCAACTCATCCCAAACCATCTCAATTGGGTTGAGGTCGGGTGATTGTGGAGGCCAGGTCATCTGATGCAGCACTCCATCACTCTCCTTCTTGGTCAAATAGCCCTTAAACAGCCTGGAGGTGTGTTGGGTCAATGTTCTGTAGAAAAACAAATGATAGTCCCAGAATGCTGTGGTTGCCATGCTGGTTAAGTGTGCCTTGAATTCTAAATAAATCACTGACAGTGTCACCAGCAAAGCACCCCCACACCATCACACCTCCTCCTCCATGCTTCACGGTGGGAACCACACATGCGGAGATCATCCGTTCACCTACTCTGCGTCTCACAAAGACACGGTGGTTGGAACCAAAAATCTCAAATTTGGACTCATCAGACCAAAAGGACAAATTTCCACTGGTCTAATATCCATTGCTCGTGTTTTTTTGGTCCAAGCAAGTCTCTTCTTCTTATTGGTGTCTAGTAGTGGTTTCTTTGCAGCAATTCGACCATGAAGGCCTGATTCATGGGCTCCCGAGTGGCGCAGCGGTCTAAGGCACTGCATCTCAGTGCTTGAGGCATCACTACAGACCCCCTGGTTCGATCCATTTTACATTTGACAATTTTGTCATTTAGCAGATGCTCTTATCCAGAGCAACTTACAGTTAGTGAGTGCATACATTTTAATTTTTCATACTGGCCCCCCGTGGGAATCGAACCCACAACCCTGGCGTTGCAAACGCCATGCTCTACCAACTGAACTACATCCCTGCCGGCCATTCCCTCCCCTACCCTGGACGACGCTGGGCCAATTGTGCACCACCCCATGGGTCTCCTGGTCACGGCCGGCTACGACAGAGCCTGGATTCGAACCAGGATCTCTAGTGGCACAGCTAGCACTGCGATGCAGTGCCTTAGACCACTGCACCACTCGGGACACAGTTGTATCACAACCGGCCGTGATTGGGAGTCCCATAGGGCGGCGCACAGCGTCATCCGGGTTTGGCCGGTGTAGGCCGTCATTGTAAATAAGAATTTGTTCTTAACTGACTTGCCAAGTTAAATAAAGGTAAAATAAAAATTCTGTTGATGTTGAGATGTGTCTGTGAAACATTTTTTGGGGCTGCAATCTGAGGTGCAGTTAACTCTAATGAATTTATCCTCTGCAGCAGAGGTAACTCTGGGTCTTCCTTTCCTGTGGCGGTCCTCATGTGAGACAGTTTCATCATAGCGTTTGATGGTTTTTGCGACTGCACTTGAAGAAACGTTCAAAGTTCTTGAAAAATTCTGGATTGACTGACCTTAATTCCTTGAAGTAATGATGGATTGTCATTTCTCTTTGATTATTTGAGCTGATCTTACCATAATATGGACTTGGTATTTTACCAAATAGGGCTATCTTATGTATACCACCCCTACCTTGTCACAACACAACTGATTGGCTCAAATGCATTAAAAAGGAAAGAAATTGCACAAATTAACTTTTAACAAGGCACACCTGTTAATTGAAATGCATTCCAGGTGACTACCTTATGAAGCTGGTTGAGAGAATGCCAAGACTGTGCAAAGCTGTCATCAAGGCAAAGGATGGCTACTCTGAAGAATCTCAAATATAAAATATATTTTGATTTGTTTAACACTTTTTTGGTTACTACATGATTCCATATGTGTTATTTCATAGTTTTGATGTCAATGTAGAAAATAGTCAAAATAAAGAAAAACCCTTGAATGAGTAGGTGTGTCAAAACTTTTGACTGGTACTACACTACCGTTCAAAAGTTTGGGGTCAATTAGAAATGTCCTTGTTTTCGAAAGAAAATTAATTTTTGGTCCATTAAAATAACATCAAATTGACCAGAAATACAATGTAGACATTGTTAATGTTGTAAATGGCTATTGTAGCTGGGAATGGCTGATTTTTAATGGAATATCTACATAGGCGTACAGAGGCCCATTATCAGCAACCATCAGTCCTGTGTTCCAATGGCATGTTGTGTTTGCTAATCCTAGTTGATCATTTTAAAAGGCTAATTGATCATTAGAAAACCCTTTTGCAATTATGTTAGCACAGCTGAAAACTGTTGTGCTGATTAAAGAAGCAATAAAACTGGCCTTCTTGAGACTAGTTGAGTATCTGGAGCATCAGCAATTGTGGGTTCGATAACAGGCTCAAAATGGCCAGAAACAAATAACTTTCTTCTGAAACTCGTCAGTCTATTCCATGTGAGAAATTTCCAAGAAACTGAAGATCTCATAAAACGCTGTGTACTACTCCCTTCACAGAACAGCGCAAACTGGCTCTAACCAGAATAGAAAGAGGAGTGGGAGGCCCCGGTGCACAGCTGAGCAAGAGGACAAATGCATTAGAGTTGCAAAGAAAAAGCCATATCTCAGACTGGCCAATAAAAAAAAAGATTAAGATGGGCAGTCTGAGATATGTATTTTTCTTTGCAACTCTGCCTAGAAGGTCAGCATCCCGGAGTCGTCTCTTCACTGTTGACGTTGAGACTGGTGTTTTGCGGGTACTATTTAATGAAGCTGCCAGTTGAGGACCTGTGAGGCGTCTGTTTCTCAAACTAGACACTCTAATGTATTTGTCCTCTTGCTCAGTTGTGCACCGGGGCCTCCCACTCCTCTTTCTATTCTGGTTAGAGCCAGTTTGCGCTGTTCTGTGAAGGGAGTAGTACACAGCGTTGTACGAGATCTTCAGTTTCTTGGCAATTTCTCGCATAGAATAGCCTTCATTTCTCAGAACAAGAATAGACTGACGAGTTTCAGAAGAAAGTTATTTGTTAAACTTGGATTAGCAAACACAACGTGCCATTAGAACACAGGTTGTTGATAATGGGCCTCTGTACGCCTATGTAGATATTTTATAAGAAATCAGCCATTTCCAGCTACAATAGCCATTTACAACATTAACAATGTATGCACTGTATTTCTGATCAATTTGATGTTATTTTAATGGCCAACAAAATTGCTTTTCTTTCAAAAACAAGGAAATTTCTAAGTGACCCCAAACTTTTGAATGGTAGTGTATATACCATAAATATAACTGATTTGATTTAATGTAGCCCTGAGTCTTTGATAAAGCTGGACCTACAGTAAACATAGTAGAGACCTTGAGCTGTACACTGCGCTATGCCTCTTAGGAAACTCTTGTTTCTTCCTTCCTCCTCTCCAGAATGTTTGCGCTGCGTATTTTCTCCATGTGATGTTGATTAGGCTGTTACAGCTGTGTAGTGGAGGGTTGTGTGGTAGCTGGCTAAGTGCGTTCCTAGCATATTGCTCCTAAATTAGCTTAGGGCTTTCAAGTCACACTGTGCTGCAAACAGGCCAAGTGGATACACTCTGACTACACATGCAGTATAATGGATAGATTTGATATATAGCTATGATGGCACATAATGTTTTTGCTATTTATTTTCTCCAGTTATTTCTTAAAGTTACTTTCGGGCCTAGTGTTGTTTTTGTGCTTCTTTAGTCATAAACATGCTAAAATATTGGAGCATGTGCAAACACTGTATATTATTATCATATTTCTAGGTAAAAAGAAATCACATTATTTTTGCACTGCACACACAAAGCATGACATGACGACATGCATCCAAAGGTGCATTCTCAAAGCTCACATTGAATATAATTCATCTATAACCCCAGACACAAGGTGAGCAGATTAGATTGAATAGCGTCCTCAGTACCTGTGTGGTGTGACTGTCCGTGTCCTCGTTTGTCCTGACCAGGCCTGTATGATGGAGGAAGGCTGTGAGCGGCGTAACCGAGGTGACCAGGACATAAACTGTCACCGTGGCAATGAGGCCAGGGCTCACCAAGCTAAGTGTGGGAACAGCTGGGTTCCTAAGGAAGGAAAAACAACAACAACGATAACATTAGCTAAGAAAATCAAACCCATTTGTTTCAACAAGAGAATAGAGACCCTTGAACATGATTGAGCTGTATGTTCCGACTAAGGTAAACATGTGTTGTTACTGGCAGAGTTGACTGACCAATCACCCTGTGCCACATCACGAACATCTCCCAGCTCGGTGCGGGGCGATCCACAGGCAGATGGATTTATGCGTAATGCCAGCCCTGAAACATAAACACAGTGACAGAGAAACACACACACGTGATAAGAGACATTAATCTGTAACTACTCTAGAGTGATGACAGAGACAGTTGGATTTAGCATCTATCCTAGAGTGTCACAAGGGGTTGATCTCAGGGCTATTATCCGAGGTGGGATCGAGCAGTTTATTTTTGTTGAGTTTGCTTCCCTTGTGTTGGTTATGAGTTATGAAATAGCAGAGCAGCTGTGTGTGTGTCCTTGCATAAGAAGTGTTAACCCCTATACATACTTCGCTTTGCATATCAACAGCCCACTGGGAATAGACATCAATTCAATGTCTTTTCCACGTTGGTTCAACGTAATTTCATTGAAATGACGTGGAAACAACATTGATTCAACCAGTGGGTGCCCAGTGGGAGGGACTGAGAGCGTGTTTTCATTCTCTGGCACTGTACTGCTAATGAAATTCCCCACTGTTGGAAATGTGACGCCAGTAGAGAGAGGGTGTGTGTGTGTGTGTGTGTGTGTGTGTGTTCTAAGGCCCAAATCACTATCAGTCCTGGGTAAGATCCCAGCTCCTCTTCCATCCCCCGGACTCAAATCACTGGCCAGAGAAGGATGGACAAAGCACTCACATACAGTGGGGGAAAAAAGTATTTAGTCAGCCACCAATTGTGCAAGTTCTCCCACTTAAAAAGATGAGAGGCCTGTAATTTTCATCATAGGTACACGTTAACTATGACAGACAAATTGAGAGAAAAAAATCCAGAAAATCACATTGTAGGATTTTTAATGAATTTATTTGCAAATTATGGTGGAAAATAAGTATTTGGTCACCTACAAACAAGCAAGATTTCTGGCTCTCACAGACCTGTAACTTCTTCTTTAAGAGGCTCCTCTGTCCTCCACTCGTTACCTGTATTAATGGCACCTGTTTTAACTTGTTATCAGTATAAAAGACACCTGTCCACAACCTCAAACAGTCACACTCCAAACTCCACTATGGCCAAGACTAAAGAGCTGTCAAAGGACACCAGAAACAAAATTGTAGACCTGCACCAGGCTGGGAAGACTGAATCTGCAATAGGTAAGCA